GCTTGTCACATGGTACAAGGGTGTTGTGAATAGCCCTGTACCATGTGACCTGTGTGATCATTCACAGATTTCACAGGTAGTAAGCAATGATGCCAGGAAGTGACATCTTGCTTACTACTCTGCATGTGATCACTGATTGGCCAGTCAGTGACCACATGATCGGGACCTCACACAGAGGTCCTGTACAGCGAACGATGTTCCACTGTGTCCTCCGGACACAGCAGGCACTGATCGCGATGCTGTGCGCTCCCAGGGGAGTGTGCACAGGCAGTGAACGCGGGTGATGTTTAGAAACGTCAACCCGCTTCAGCAGTTAATATGCACTTTATAAAGAGTTTTGAACAGATAAAACTTTTTTTTACTTTTTTCTGACCTCCGGAACGCATTAATTGGCTTTCAATGCATTTACGATTTGTTTTAAAATCATGTCCCTGTACAGTATTTATGTCTTTAAAATGCACTTTATAAAGAGTTTTGAACAGATAAGACTTTTTTGGACTTTTTTCTAAACGGATTAATTTTTTATGCATTTTTTTTAACCTCCGGAACGTAATTAAATGGTTTATCAAGTTTTGAACAGATAAGACTTTTTTCCTATTAATTGGTTTTCAATGCCGGGTTTCGTGTTTCGGTTTACGAACTTTTTGCAATACGAAAAGTCCCGCAGAACGCATTAAATTCCTGTCCTGACAGGATATGAAGGGTAATTTCCCCTTTGGGGACACAGATGAGAATAAACATCTGATAAAAAATCAAACAAAAACATTTTGGGCTGCTAATGGGCTGAAGTTCTGATGGCATGATATTATATTGCTACAGTAGAACTCCAGCTAAAAATAGCAAGATATAAAAGAATAGCCCATTAAAGTATAAAAACACCAAAACCAGCTATTTTCTGTAATATTCACATTTAATCTAGAGATTTCCCCTGTAGTACTTTTTTGCTGCCACTAGATGTCCTCAGTCAGTTAGAATCATTATACCCTCTTCCTCTCAGCTCAGGTCATCCCAGACATGTCCCCAACAGGGGCGGACTGACAACTCATGGGGCCCCCGGGCAATAGGGGATCATGGGGCCCCTGTGTCCTTGCCCAAACTCAAAAAAAAAAAGCCTATGAAAAAGGTACCAGGGGCATCTCATAGGGCCCCCTACTGACCCCGGGCCCTCGGGCAGTGCCCGAGTTTCCAAATGGTCAGTCCGCCCCTGGTCCCCAATCAGCAATAAAAACATTGTCAGAAGTTGTAACCCTTCCTCACTAAAGATTTCATTTTGCTTCTGTCCACGGTTGGAGGGATTTCCCATCACTTCCTGTCCTGACAGGGTATGAAGGGAAATTTCCCCTTTGGGGACACAGATAAGAATAAATATCTGACGGAGGCTCTAATCCTTACCCGTTTGAATAAAAATAAAATTAAAAAAATTTGGGCTGATAATGGGTTGAAGTTATGATAGCGTGATGTTATATTGTCAAAGCAGAATTCCAGCCAACAATTGCAAGATAAAAAAAAACGAATAGCCCATTAAAAGATGAAAAAACAAAACCAGCTTTTTCCGCAGTATTCACTTTTAATCCAGAGATTTTCCCCTGCAGTACTTTGTTTCTGCCACTAGATGTTCTCAGTCGGTTAGAATTATTAAACCCTCTTCCTCTGAGCTCAGCTCATCCCGGACGTACCCCCAGCTTGTGACTGGACAGTGAAAGGAGAAACAGCACAGTGATGAGTTCTCATATTGCCAGAATATATACATAAACAGATGTACTGTGCTATAAAAAAATAAACTCAAATACTATATATATATATATATATATATTTATATACTGTGTGTGTATGTTTGAAGCTGGACCTTCAAATTATAAAAGGTCTGGAGTGCGGAGTCCCCCTTGAAGCCGGGACAAGCTCTATTGGAAGATTCAGCCTTATTCACCATATGATCAACCAAGGAGAATCCCAGACAATGGCTCAAGATAAAAAAATAAAATATCCATAGTGCCTTCCGTATGTATAAAACCTACACACAGATTTTGTTATCATGAGAGGGCGGGGACAGCTCTGGCAGCTCACTGGTATTGCTGCTCGGGACCAGGGGTGGACCGACCATTCGAGCACTCTGGCACTGCCCGAGGGCCCGGGGTCAGTAGAGGGCCCCCATGAAATGCCCCTGGTACCTTTTTTATAGGCTTTTTTGAGTGTGGACAAGGACATAGGGGCCCCATGATCCCCTATAGCCCCCCCATGAGTTGTCAGTCCGCTCCCTGCTCGGGACAGAGCTTCTGCAGACCCTTGGCTGCGGCCGCATGCTTTCTATTCTTGCTCCTCTGCGTGCAAATGTCAGGTCTCGGTGCTTCGCCCTATTTGATATAATATTTTTAAGACACAAAATACAAAAATGGAGAAACCTCAGAAAATAGGGACTTTTAAGGCACCTCCCTGGCGGTATGATTATTTCCGATTTTTGGTGCTGAAAGCTGGGTACCATTATTCTGCATGGAAATATGTAGTTTTTTTATTGTAGGCTGTAATATTTAGGAATAACTCACTGAAATCTGTCCGAACAAGAGTCTAGTAAACATCCCGGGGAATGATAAAATTTGAAACACGAAATCATAAATTATAATTTAATAAATAATCATAAAAAAATAAAAATATAATAATATTACATTTAATTCAATAATATAATCAAACCAAAAACACTGAAATGTGAAATAGAGCGCCAAGTTCGCACATCGCTAAGCAAAGTCGCAAAATCGTTTTCAGTGTCTGATGAGGAATTCCCCCACGAATCATTATCACTCAATTCTGCAAGTGGTTCTGATTTACTATCGCTGTTATCTAAACCCGCTTTTGACCTAAAGGGACACTTTTTGGACGCCATGGACTTTTCAAAGTTTCCAGGCAGAAAGAACATTCAAAATGCAGACAGGGGACAGGACAAAGCACTCGGGACAAAATGTATGTGAAATGGGTTGATACAGGAATGTTTTACTATGAAAAATCGTTTTGAAAAAAATGACATTTTTTTTTAATTTTCAAATTTTCCGCCGCCGGTGGCGGCGCCCGTACGTCCCGACGTCACAGGGACCAGAACACAGAAGCCGGATGCCGGCATCGGCCGGAGGAGATGGCCGGGGACGCTGCAGGGGACACATCGCGGGAGCGAAGGACAAGGTAAGTGCTGCAGGGACCCCCAGAGCAGTGCCAACATGGTAAGCCTGAGTGTAGCTCGGGGTTACCGCTTTTGGTATAGAAATTTTACCCCGAGATACACTCGGGAATACCGCCAGGGAGGTTAATAACAAAACAAGAATAGACTATAACATTAATGTATTTATTAAAGTCCATTAAAACAGTGGACCATAAATTCCACCACTTAATAAGCAAATAATTGATAAAACATAACCAACAAGTCACATATTAAGATTTCACGATTCCATATCCCACGGTAACGCCGACGTGTTTCACAGTCCACATCTGCTTCTTCAAAGGCTTTGCGGGGGTCGTCTACAAAAACATGTACATAACTTCACAGTAACGAATATATAAGCTGCTTGGTGATAGTTTGGTAGCCCAGTCCAGCGCTTGTGTAGGTCTACAATCTTGTCCCTGACATCCTTGGACAGCTCTTTGGTCTTTGCCATGGTGGAGAGTTTGGAATCTGATGGTTTGATTGGTCCTGTGGACAGGTGTCTTTTATACAGGTAACAAAAATGAGATTAGCAGCACTCCCTTTAAGAGACTGCTTCTAATCTCAGCTTGTTACCTGTATGAAGGACACCTGGTAGCCAGAAATCCTGCTGAATGATAGGGGATCAAATACTTATTTCCCTCATGAACATGCAAATCAGTCATCATTTGTTAGACATGCATTTATTTAGAATTTGTTGTTGCTATTCTGTCTCTCAGTGTTAGCTTCTCAATACACCGAACATTCAGTTTTTAGACCGATCATTTCTTTGTGAGTGGGGCGAACGTTCAACATCATCAGGGGATCAAATACGCATTTCCTTCAATATATGTGTTTATACATGAGAATATTACAACCAATAATACACAGTGTATACATATTTTGTTGAAACTCTTACCGCAGTATTCATTTAGATCACAGAACTGTTATTGGTTCAAAAGCGATGATAACCACCGATGTCTGAATAAGACAGAATAGAAAAGAAAATTAACAAATAGAAAGGTATAGAACAGAAAAGAATAGTATAGAATAGAATAAAATAGAAGAATATAGCTGTCTTCTGAAATCTGAATGTAAATAGAATAGAACCAGCTATTGTTCACAATGAATTCAGATTGATTCGATAATTTTGAAACGAATTTGATTCAAAATACTTTTGAATCCATTGGAAAGATTTGAATCTGGTCAAAAAATGAATAAACAAAACAAATTAAACTAAATTTGTTAGAAATAAAATTAGTAACTTAACGAATCGATCTGAAATGAAACATTTTTTTTTTTTCGTTCTGTACATGTCTAGAGATGAGCGAATGAATGTTCACTGGTCTACCTCCCCTTCACCTACTGACACCTGCCATGAGGGTCCCAGGTCTACAGGAGGGACAGCAGAGCCTGGGAAGCATGGCAGGGGTCACTGCGGAGGGGGTCACTCCAGGGGGGGGCAGACTTTGGGGGTCACAGAAAGCAAACTGGCAGCTGTACAGCCGCCAGATCATTTTCATTGGAAAGTTGACAGTTGGCTTGTGGAGTGTACACCCCCAGTGCTCCCCGGTGACACCATCATAAGACATACAGTGGTGGCAGTAGAAGGGCTTTCAAACCTAATTAGTTGACTCAATGATGGCAAGAGAAAATGTCCTGATGAACGATTTCAGTACAAACATATGAAATTCTACATGTGTGCACCCAGCTTAAACCCAGGACCCTGCATTCACTATATCCGGTCTCCCGGACCCTGCATTCACTATATCTGGTCTCCCCGGACCCTGCATTCACTATATCCGCTCTCCCCAGACCCTGCACTCACTATATCTGGTCTCCCCGGACCCTCCACTCACTATATCTGGTCTCCTCAGGACCCTGCATTCACTATATCTGGTCTCCCCGAACCCTGCATTCACTATATCCGCTCTCCCTGGACTCTGCATTCACTATATCTGGTCTCCCCGGACCCTGCATTCACTATATCTGGTCTCCCCGGACCCTGCATTCACTATATCTGGTCTCCCCAGACCCTGCAGTCACTATATCCACTCTCCCTGGACCCTGCAATCACTATATCCGCTCTTCCCGGACCCTGCATTCACTATATCTGGTCTCCCCGGACCCTGCATTCACTACATCTGGTCTCCTAGGACCCTGCATTCACTATATCCGCTCTCCCCGGACCCTGCATTCACTATATCTGGTCTCCCCGGACCCTGCATTCACTACATCTGGTCTTCCAGGACCCTGCATTCACTATATATCCGCTCTCCCCAAACCCTGCATTCACTATATATGGTCTCCCCGGACCCTGCATTCACTATATATGGTCTCCCTGGACCCTGCATTCACTATATCTGCTCTCCCCGAACCCTGCATTCAGTATATCTGGTCTCCAAGACCCTGCATTCACTATATCCGGTCTCCCCGGACCCTGCATTCACTATATCTGGTCTCCCCGGACCCTGCATTCAGTATATCTGGTCTCCCCAGACCCTGCATTCACTATATATATGGTCTCCCCAGACCCTGCATTCACTATATCTGGTCTCCCACAGTACACAGAACATGGAAATGCAATTATTTTAGTAAATATAAAAACTTCTAGATCCCTTTTCTCGTCAGCAGTATATAGCAGTTTTGTCACTTCTATTAGCGTCAAGCAGAGCACTGGTTAAGCTTGTAGGAGGAGTTTTCATTCTGCTCTAACAGGATGCAGAACCCCTGACCTGTATGGACGGTGCTGATGGGCCCTGTGCTGATTACATGCATGCATGCATGCGTGCAATCTAAGGTCCCTAACCCTCAAGGGGCGTACAATCTAAGGCCCCTAACCCTCAAGGGGTGTACAATCTAAGGTCCCTAACTTACATTCATACATACACATACTAGGGCCAATTTAGACAGGAGCCAATTAACCTACCAGCATGTCTTTGGAGTGTGGGAGGAAACCAGAGTACCTGGAGGAAACCCACACAGTCACAGGGAGAACATGCAAACTCCAGGCAGGTGGTGCTGTGGTTGGGATTGAAACCAGTGACCCTAGTACTGCCAGGCGGAAGTGTTAACCATTTAGCCACTGTGATGCCCCAGCTTTCACATAAACCATTTAATTTACACGTATTGGAATTTTTTGTTAGCAAAGACACAGAGCAGAATACATTTTGGCCTAAATTTATGATAAAAATTGATTTTTAATGGATATGTTTTTTTATAGTAAAATGTAAAAAATTTATTTTTTCTTTTTTCAAAATTGTCGGTCTTTTTTTGTTTATAGCACAAAAAATTAAAAAACTGTACAGGTGACCAAATACCAATGAAAGAAATCTCCATTTGTGGGAAAAAAAGAATGTAAATTTAATTTGGGTGCAGCGTTGCATGACCGCGCAGTTGTCAGTTAAAGTAACGCAGCGCCGTATCGCAAAAAACGGCCTGGTCAGGAAGGGGGGTAAATCCTCTGGGGGGCAAGTGATGGAGTCTATGGACTGGAAGAAGCATGCATCCATGAGACGTGATGACCTCTGATAGGCACAGGCTTGTTCCAGGCAGAAACTCATAAAACAATAAAAGGAAGCTGCAGAAATCATTGGTTGTAAAACTGCTGAGCAATGGCACTTACCGTGTTTTATGTTGACCTTTCTACTTCTAATCCTTTAATAGACAAATGAGCAGAAAACTTTGAAACCGTAATAAATGGATCCATATGAAGCAGAAGTGGGATGACTCAAGGCTAGGAAAAGACAATTCAGCTTTACAACATGAGTGAGGTGCGGAAAACCCTCAGTGATGAACCTATGGACCGGTGGGGCATGTCAGGAGTCAACCAGGAAAATGTGAAGGCGTAACGCAGAATCAGTTACGTTGTTTCCCCGCAGACAGGATTCAGATTAATCGCACGTATTCACAGCTCACAGCAGCGGAGGACGATCAGTGAGAAGACCATGTGATAGACTAATCCCAACGTCGGCCAGCTTGGCACACCGGTCAGCTATGGTCATAGCGAAACTTCCTCCCAATACAAGACAATGAAACCTTTGCTCGCCACGTAAGTAGGAATTCATTTTGCTGGCAGCCAGCACCCTTACCTCTTCACAGTCCGTCATTCGGAAGGACTGTCCCTCTTTTGGATTCCCTCTGTCCCTTCTTTCCCTCTCATTTGTCCCTCTTGTTCGATGGATGTGTAGACCCCTATAGTAAATGCTGTACTTAACGATTTAACGTGTTACTAAACCCACAGCAGTACAATCAGTCTGTATATGCAGTAAGGCGTGCTTGTTATACTCACAAAAATATATATATTTTGCACAGTCCTGCCGCCCTGTACCAGTAGTTCTGCTATAGTACGGTGGGGAACTGGTTAAAGTGTTACTAAACCCACAACAGTATATGTAGATGCAGTAAAGCATGCTTGTTATACTCACTGTGGAACCTAAGGGGTTAATCCTCTGCATTGTGTAAAAGGCCATTTGAATCTGTCTTCTCTGCTCCTCCTCTTGTTCAAATGTCCACCTGATAAGACAGACTGAACCGTAGCCACTCTGCACATGCAGGTTTTTCCTACCTTACTACATAGAATATATAAAAGTGTTTACTAAACCCACAACAGTACAATCAGTCTGTAGATGCAGTAAAGCATGCTTGTTATACTCACCGTGGAACCTAAGGGGTTAATCCTCTGCATTGTGTAAAAACACTGTTTGATCCTTTCTTCTCTGATCCTCACCTTCTTCCAGTGTTCCCTTCGTATCTCCTGATAAGACAAATTGTGTGGATTCACTTTGTACATGCTCAGCTTGGTGTATTGCTAGAGAGGGTTTTTTTTTTCCCCTTGGGAGAGTGCATGTGATCAGCACAGGGCCAATTTGGCACTGTCCAGACAGAGGTCAGGGGTGCTGCATCCTCTTAAAGCAAAAACAAAAGTCCTCCTACAAGCTTTAACCAGTGGTCTGCTGGACACTGATAGAAGTCACAAGACTGTTCTAACTGCAGTTTATATTTACTAAAATAATTGCATTTCCATGTTCTGTGTACTGTGTGAGACCAGATATAGAGAATGCAGGGTCTGGGGAGACCAGATATAGTGAATGCAGGGTCCGGGGAGACCAGATATAGTGAATGCAGGGTCCGGGGAGAGCGGATATAGTGAATGCAGGAGTCCGGGGAGACCGAATATAGTGAATGCAGGGTCCGGGGAGACCGGATAGTGAATGCAGGGTCAGATAAAGAGAATGCAGGGTCCGGGGAGACCAGATATAGTGAATGCAGGGTCCGGGGAGGCCAGATATAGTGAATGCAAGGTCCGGGGAGGTCAGATATAGTGAATGCAGGGTCCAGGGAGACCGGATATAGTGAATGCAGGGTCCTGGGAGACCAGATATAGTGAATGCAGGGTCCGGGGAGACCAGATATAATGAATGCGGGGTCCTGGGAGACCAGATATAATGAATGCAGGGTCCGGGGAGACCAGATATAGTGATGCAGGGTCCGGGGAGATCAGATATAGTGAATGCAGGATCCGGGGGGACCAGATATAGTGAATGCAGGGTCCGGGGAGACCAGATATAGTGAATGCAGGGTCTGGGGAGATCAGATATAGTGAATGAGGGGTCCGGGGAGACCAAGATATAGTGAATGCAGGGTCCGGGGTTTAGTAACACTTTAATTATAAAAAAAATTGCATAGCAGTTCGCACAGTGACAGTGCATGTATATTCATCATATGCAAATGGAGCAAAAAAACCCACAAATATTAGGCTATTTCCTGAGTTAGCAGAATGGTTTTCATTGATTTAAAATTGGCCACATTTGGCCACTAGTTGGCGCTGGGTATCAGAGGAATTTCTTATGGTACTTGGCGCCATCTAATGGCCAAATGTGGTAACTTCCAGGTTTTACCCCCTTCATGACAAGGCCATTTTTTGTTGTTCAGCACTTACCATCAAAAGAAAACTCTATTTGTGGGGGAAAAAAAAAAAGGACATAAATTTCATTTCGGTGCAGCGTTGCATGATTGTGCAATCAGTACTAGGGGCGGACTGACAACTCATGGGGCCCCCGGGCAATAGGGGATCATGGGGCCCCTGTGTCCTTGCCCAAACTCAAAAAAGCCTATGAAAAGGTACCAGGGGCATCTCATGGGGCCCCCTACTGACCCCAGGCCGTCGGGCAGTGCCCGAGTTTCCAAATGGTCAGTCCACCCCTGATCAGTACTTTAACCGCTTGCCCTCAAGAGGATTTACCCCCCTTCCTGACCAGGCCATTTTTTTGTGGTACGGCACTGCATTATTTTAACTGACAATTGCGCGGTCATGCAGTGCTGCACCCAAATGAAATTTATGTCCTTTTTTTCCCCCACAAATAGAGCTTTCTTTTGGTGGTATTTGATCACCTCTCTCTTTTTATTTTTTGTGCTAGAAACAAAAAAAGACTGACAATTTTGAGAAATAAAACAATATTTTTGACTTTTTTTGCTATTAAACATGTCCAGTAAAATTTTTAAAAAAGAAATCCCATTTCTTTTATGGGCTATTGATGGCCCCTACGTGGGCGGGCCTCTTGCACTGTTGGAGTTACGGTACTGTGCTCTTTATTTTTTATGTACCATGGATAGCCCCTGTGTGGGCGTGTCTTTTGCTTTAATCCTTCTTCTTAAATTGTTTACAAAAGTTAATAAAAACCATTGAAATACACAAAAAATCTAATTTCGTCATAAATTTAGGCCAAAATGTATTCTGCTCCACGAAAAAAAAAAATCCCAATATATGCAAATTAATTGATTTACCTGAAAGTTATAGCGTTTGCAAATGGCGGTATATAGACTGGAATTTGTTTTTTTTATAGTAATGGTGGCGATCAGTGACTTATAGCGGCACTGCGGCGGGCATTCTGACCGGGGGGGGGGGGGGGGGACTGACTTGGTGTCACTAACATCCCCAGTGACACCAACACAGTGATCAGTGCTAACAAAAAAGCACTGACACTGTACTAATGGCCCTGTGGAGGAAGGGGTTAACATCTGGGGCGATCAATGGGTTAATTGTGGGCTGTGTGTGTTTTTCACTGTGTACATACATAGTTACATAGTTAGTCTGGCTGAAAACAGACAAAAGTCCATCCAGTTAAACCATAAAAAAAAAAAGTTATAATCCTACACCCACAGTTGATCCAGAGGAAGGCAAAAAAAAACCAGCAAAGCAAGATCCAATTTGCTCCTGCAGGGGAACAAATTCCTTCCTGATCCCCTGAGAGGCAATCGGATATTCCCTGGATCAACTTTACCTAGAAATGTTATATCCAGTTTAGGGGCGGACTGACAACTCATGGGGCCCCCGGGCAATAGGGGATCATGGGGCCCCTGTGTCCTTGCCCAAACTCAAAAAAGCCTATGAAAAAGGTACCAGGGGCATCTCATGGGGCCCCCTACTGACCCCAGGCCCTCGGGCAGTGCCCGAGTTTCCAAATGGTCAGTCCGCCCCTGATCGAGTTATATTCTGTGTATCCAAGAAAGGATTCAGGACTTTGTATGGCTCTGCTATGCCACCTTGTAGCAGTATTTCTGTTAACTGGCAATTTCTGAGTCAT